CCCCCTTCAAAAGTTAAATGGTCGGCCCCTTACTGGGGTTTCTTTCGCTTTAAGAGATTTCAATCCAGTTATAAAATGAGGTCATCGGGGAAGGTAAAGTATTTTCAATTTCCGAAAATCAAAAGTAATTCAGGTGTAAAACATTATATTCTTGACTTGAAACCAATATCCTGGTACACACTAACCTGAAGTTCAGGCCCTATCACAGAATAGGGCCTGACACAAAACCTATCTAAAGTGTGGGATTCCCGTCCACCTGGTGGACGGGAAATCTGATTGGTTGATCAGCATCATGAAGGATTTTGATTGGTTGCAAGTTCACATAAACAACAGTTTTAAAAATAGCTCGGTCAAGGCGAAAATTAATATAAAGGTCAAACGCACGTAACAAATTCCATTATCGATTTCTTCGAATTTCTTTTCTTTTATGCTTTATGGCAGAAGATAAATCAAACAAACAGTATTTTGAAAGGGCTTCATCAAAATCTTTGACGAATTTTGGATACACACGACGCTGAAAGAACAGCCAAACTAGTCATGTATTCGAAAGCTTGTTGTTGACAGCCAAGATGTTCTGCCAAATTGCTTCGCCGGCAAAAGTCTTATTTCTAATATCAGGTCCTACTGGCATTGTTTTCTGAGCTACATCGCCTTTTTCGAGGTATGATTGAGAATTTAATTGTTGCTGTCATTAGCCCGTTAGTCGTTAGAGTATATCCGCGTCCAGCGAGTTGAGACCTTGAGAAAGTTTGGCAGTCAAGCCGTGCACAGAACTGACTAATTAAATCTTTGTTTGCTGTTCGCCTGTTCGGTTAAATAGAGAAACTGACTCTTAATTATATAAAAGTACCTTGAATTTTTAAGTTTAATTAAAAAGCAAAATGCTCTGCGGACACGTTCATGAGAATATAATTTTTTTGTGTAACGAAATCTACAACACTTGTCAATCATATTGCATGTGTGTCTAAAAATAACATGTGGGCGTCCCACGGTCTAGACAGGTTTTGTGTCAGGCCCTATTTCAAATTAGGGCCTGAACTTCAGGTTAGGTACACACTAGACAATGTTCATCGATAAAATCACAAAATAGACATGACATGGTATATCTATTCTGTGATAAAATATTCTTTTGTGCCATGCCACCTGACATGGTGGCTGACGTGCAAGTCAAGAATAGAGAAAATGTAAAAATCAGTCCAGTCCAACTGTCCAGTCCAGTCCAACTGTCCAGTCCAGTCCAACTGTCCAGTCCAGTCCAACTGTCCAGTCCAGTCCATGTTTTGTACTATGCCTTATTTCTGTGATATACATATGTGTTGTTCTGTTAAGTATTTGCTATGTTGACACTTGACATGTATACTTTTATAATAATGTGATTTGTTTGAAATGCATAATTTATAATTACACTATATTGACGAAGGGCCTTCATAAATTTCGAAACGTCGACTCGAGTTGTTTTTTAAGGTAGTATTTTTCCATTGGTACTACCCACACTGGTAAAGACAGTTTTAGTATATATTCACATTAATAGCATGTAGACAGCCTTTCCCAATGTATGGCTCTATCAGTCAGGCTCTATCAGTCAGCCACCCAGCCTAAAACATGTGCAAGGGGCCGCTTATATAAAGGCAAGTCAGTCCAGGTAACTAACCTGGTTATAGCTCGCTTTCACTGGATGAATGTCTGTTTACATGAAATTCAAATTCAAATTCAAATTTATTTCACACGTTTACAAAAGATATAGTTAGACATTAATTACATCACAAAAAAATCATAATGGAAGGGAAAAAAAGGGAGTTAATTATGGTATTGTATCGTGTACAGTGGCCAAAGTAGCTGCGAAGCTTTCGAGTTGGCCACCGTTTACAAAATTGTTGTTTTGTGACTGTTTACATAATTGAGAAAAAAGAAAAGAACATGACGTGTTTGGTGTGGCTGGATCAGTGTCTGGATTCTACGTTTGGCTTAGGATAAGTTTTCTTGTATATTTAGATTTAAATATTCTAACTGAAGTCGACTGCTTAATATGTAGGTCTATCGTTTCCCAAATATTGGATGACGAAAAAAGAAAAGTGTGTTTGCCGTAATTTGTGCGCGCTTTTGGTCTGCTAAAGTTTTGATTTGCCGCGAATCTTGTATTATACGAGTGACAGGTAGATGCGATGGATATGGAGTTTGCAAAAACTGACGGTATTAAGTTGTTAAGGATTTTATATGTAAAAATTGCAATTTTCAATTTAAAAACATTGTCAACGTTGAGTATTCCCAATAGATTGAGGTAGGTACTGGCATCTTCTCTTTTATGCGCAAAGAAAATGTTTCGTACACATTTATTTTGAGCAATGCGAATTTTGGATAGATGGGTAGTATAGGTGTTTCCCCAGCTCATTATTCCGTAGTTAAGATATGGATAGATTAGGGAATAGTAGAGTTGTTTCAACATCTGTAGGTTCACATAATATCGCAATTTATTAAGGATGCCAGTGTTTTTAGATATTTTGCTTTTTATGTGGTTTATTTGCTGGCCCCACTTAAGGTGTTTATCAATATAGACGCCCAGGTATTTGATGTAGTCTTTTTGTTCAATGTCATGAATTCTGACATTTGATATTTGTTTTTTATGTGAACTAATGATCATGTAATTAGTTTTTTTAAAGTTAATAGCTAGTTTATTAGCTGAACAATAGTCAAGGATTTGAATAAATTCTTCGTTCATGGTTTTGGTTACATCTTGAACATTGTCACTGGAGTAGAAGACATTAGTATCGTCAGCAAAAAGTCTAAATGAGAGTTTCGTAGAACAGTTTGGCATGTCATTAATATAAATCAGAAATAATAATGGAGCAAGCGTTGATCCTTGAGGTAAACCGCACGTTAAGGTTAGCATGTCAGAATCGGTGTTATCTATATGTACATACTGTTTTCGGTTGCTTAGGAAATCTCTAAACCAGGCTAGCGGGCCTCCACGAATTCCGTATTTGTTTAGTTTGTCGAGTAAGATTTTATGGTTGACAGTGTCGAATGCTTTGGATAAGTCCAGAAGTAACCCGCAAGTAATTTTTTTTTCGTCTATTTGGTTTTTTAAGTAATCAGATATTTCGAGAATTGCTTGCTCCGTTGAGTGACCTTTACGAAAGCCAAATTGGTGACTAAAGAGCAAAGAATGTTTTTCAAGAAATGATTCTAACTGTTTGTGGACTAATTTTTCCAGTACCTTTGCAAAGGGAGAGAGTATAGAGATAGGACGGTAGTTTGTGGGATCAGTAGTTACTCCGCTTTTATAGATTGGTGTAACTCTTGCGATTTTTAATATGTCAGGTACAATGCCCTCTGAGATAGATTCATTGTATAAGTTTGTGATAATTGGGGCAATGATAAAAGCGCCGATTTTTATCATTTGATTAGGTATATGGATAGAGGCTTTATTAGGGTCAAGAGAAGAGAGTAGGTCATAAACTTGTGTTTCAATAACGTAAGACATTGCAAAACTAGATTCCGGGGGAGTATTAATATATTCTAGTGGATTTCTGTTTGCAGTATTGGGGATTGAGTTAGCTAGCGCCGGGCCAGC